ACATCATTTTCTTGGCCCTTTGCTTCCAGCCTTTTGAATTATGGTAAAGCAGCTCCATTGGCTCAACTAAATGTCTCGCTTGACTTACTCTCATGGTCTCAGCTTTGCGGAAAACAGCCACATAAAACACGAGAAACTTCTTAAACATTTTTATGATGTTCAGAATGCCTGGAGGCAAAGATAGCAAGTAGCATCATCAGAAATATGACAAAAGTTCCGCGGTTTATCAAGATGCGTATCTATACGACCTTGCTCTTAATTGCACCGCATTTCAAAGGATCACGGAATGAATGAAAATATCAACAAAATTCGGTTTGGTAAAATGTTGCTGCTAGATAATGTGGTGATCGTTTTTGGTTAGGTATTAAAATTCCAGGCCCGGGCCTCGTAAACATTTAATCTGTCTGGGTTAAATGCTAAGCGCAATTCAAAGTGCGGCGCAGTGACGCGCGATGAGTTATAACTCATTAGCGCACAGAGCGAGAACAACTCAAAAATAAATTTCTCCAGAAACGAAAATACTCTACAAGTTCAGTTATGCGTTCAGTAAAGAAGAGTGCGCTCTAAATGTCGCCAAATTTCTTCAAACCTTCAAAAATTGATTGAAAAAACATGAAAAGCTGAATTTTGCCCGCTTCATAAATATTGATTTGAACATGATCGCTTGTACGCAACTGCAGACTGTTCAGTAAAAAGTTCCAACTTCCAAAGTAAAGCGAGTAGAAACTTCAAAGATTTACATTCTGATTTTTTGACAAAAAACATAAATTGGACTCCCTATTTACATATCTGAAACGCTTCTTTACAGACAAGCTTCAGATGAGCCTGATGTAAAAATGCAAAACCGCCCAAAATATTCCCAAAGTTTGAAAATTCATAAAACTTCAGTTGCTTGTGGGAAACTAAGTTCAGTTCAAGCCAAAAGTTTATATATTAGAGATCTTTCTTATCAGCTTTTTGCAAGCCGGCGCGCTATCCTCCATTAAACCTCAACAAGTTCACTACGCTCTCACAAACTACCGCACTTGCCATAAGCGCCACAATGATTCAATATTTCCCATCTAAGAAACTTCAGTTTTCAAACTGAAACCTTTTCGGAAAAAAGGACACCGAACTACAGAATAAACATGATTGATCATCATCGTTTAATTGTTCGCCCATTCGAATGTGTTCCCCAATCTGATGAAGCTGATTAGTCAAATTTTTATCCAAAAAGCGCAAGCTTAAAGTCTTTCTTTTGCAGGTGTTAACAATCACAGCATTCACAGTGGAACGGTACGTGGCAATTTGCCATCCGTTTGTATCACAAACCATGTCCAAGCTGTCCAGGTGTATTCGCATCATAGTTTTCATCTGGATTGTGGCTCTTGTGTTGGCGATACCGCAAGCCATCCAGTTCGGAATCAAGGTGTCGGAAGACAACGGAAAACAGTTGACACATTGCACGGTTGTATCCAAGATATTCGAGCATGCCTTTGAGGTAAGAAGCGAACATTCGCTGCTAAATGTAAATTAGAACGCCACCCACAACGATCAAAGTTGTAACCCACACAAGTTTGCTGACGAGTTTTTAAATTTGCTTGCGAGCCCTCGCCTCATCCTATTTCCATTAAATGGCACTTTTACGGAGCCGAGCAACTTTCTACCAAACCTATTTATGATTTTTTATTTCAATCTGAAACAATGCCCCAATTAAGATTCAACAGCAGGGGCTTTCAACTCTTCAAATATGGATTATTAAAATCTCTCCGGCCCGACGTTCGATTTGATTCCAAGCTGTGCTGTGTACCGAACACAATTAATGCTAGAAAAATCCTAAATTGATTTTTAATAAATTTTAATAAAGTTTCAGATGGGAAAAAAAATATGTTGAGACACAGCAAGCGCTTTTCTCGCTGCTCGTAAAGATAAGAGAAACTTTTCTGATTTACGCTGGCCTTAAAAGGGGCCTTTCTGCACGGTCTCGCTCTAGAACCGGGCTCAATCATGCATAAAAATAATAATGTTGTTTTTCCAGATTTCCACCATTGTGTTTTTCGTGGCCCCCATGACTCTAATTACTGTTCTCTACGTTCTGATCGGGGCGCAACTGAAAAAATCGACAGCCAAGCGGCCGTCTTTGACTCAGAACAGCAGCAACAGTACAGCCATGCGATGCTCAAATCAATGCAACAGTAATGCCTCCAAGAAACGGCTGAGGCACACCCAAGCTCAAAATCGAGTCGTGAAGATGCTCAGTGAGTTTTTCTCTCTTTGGTGTTTTTCCAGTTAATTAATGCCTTTGTTTACTCACTTTTGCTTTCTGTTTACTTTGTCTGGGCCTACTTTAGCAGCAAAACGATGAATTTGGCGATCGGCAGAATATTTTGTTTTTCGCGTGAAAAGTATGGACTTTCAAATGGTCGGCTTTGCCTACGACCGAAAAAAAATTGGAAACATTGGCCTGCAAAATAATCACATCTTGCCAGCCATCCGGCAAATAAATGCAGAAAATGTAATATATTTTAATAAAGTGTTCCCGAGAAAAATATCTTCCGCCTGAACGCATTCCCAAAAAGGGCAACGAAGGGAAGTGGAATAAAAAAGCCCTCGGTAAATCATTGTTTTAATAACGGAAAACAGTTTATTAATTCAAAGGAGATCAGTTTTAACGACTACGCTGTTGTTGGTTGAAAAGAAATCTTTCTGCTCCGAAGATTCACAAGAGAAACAGACCAGTTGGCCAAGCTTTGCTGGTTAAAAGCTGATTAGATCCAATCATGTGGTCATTGTTATTCATCGAAAGTTTCCCTATGCAGAAATGGAACTATATAGACGCCCAATATAATTTTGAAGCCCTATGCGTGCTCGTCCCCGCAAACAAATGATCTTGTCCGATGGATAGAACATTCATAAAACGTTAATTGACCAAATGCAAGCAAAATTAGCGCGTGTTCGTTCGATATCGGTATGTTCAAAGCAAATTAACTTTGAATCGAGAGGAGATGAAACTGAACTAAATTGAATGTAATTAAAGGCGAAAAACGGACATGTTTTAACTGCAAAGCACGATCAAAGTTCGATTTGCGTCTATCGCGGGTGAAACAAGATTGAGATTTTCCCGAAATTGCCGAAATCTTTGCCAATTTAAGTGCCCCATATGGAATCGTTGACGTTATTATGCAAATCTAAGGCCCTAAAAAGCCGGAGGGAAATTTTCAGCTTTATATTCGGCGGTAATGAGATCAGCAATCACCCAGCTCGGCTTTACCGTGAAAGTTTCCTTTCAATAAACGTCTGATCTTTGGGGGATCATATTGAAAATCTCATTATGATAAACGGCATGCAGTTGCGTTTTTGGCATTGCAATAGCTGAACAAACTGAATTTGGATGCGAAGATAAAAAAAACCCGACTAGGAGTGGGCCGAATTGGAGCCTAAAAACGACGGTTTTATTCTTCAGACATTCGCGATTGCTATGCAGGTAATGCTTCCACTTATATGTCGATTCTCCTGAAAACAGCCAAATTCAATTAGGTGGCAACACATTATAACAGAGCGGCAAAATTCCATATAAAACAACCTGTTTGTAAGCTCAATCAAGTTAGGGCACGCTGAAAGTAAACTGGAACAAGGTTGGCAGCTATTTTGCATATAAAGGAATTTGCGAGAGCAACAGAAGCTTTCCCGTAAAACTTCATTTCAGTTTAAGTAAAAGAGGAGTTTTATTTTGTTGGCGTTTGCATATTCAGACGAATTACTTATGCGGAAACCGAGAAGATCGTCGAGTTTTTATATGGGATTTGTCTTAGGGAAGGGTTCTTATGCAGACTTTTCCGGCTCAACGTCCGTCAAAGTGTGTGCTAATAAATGCTAATTTAACTGAACAATTAGCATAAAAAGGCAGTTTCCTTTTTAACTCGGAGACAGTCGCCGGATTTTCCCGAAATAAGAGTGCTTCCGTTGGTAATAATACACGAAGAAGAGGAATAGGAGCCTCTGTATGTTAAATGTTAAATGAATAACCGAAAACTTTGAAGCCTTTTGGTGCTTTTGTCTTGCAGAAAATGGGCAATTTTCGCGTAAATGAGGTTTTCACACGAAACAGCGCACATTTTTCCTTATCAACCATCAAACAAAAGAATAATTCTTTGTTTCAGTCAAATTTTGAACGGTTTTCAAGTGAAACTCACGGAACTTTTAGGAGTTGGCGCAGTGCTACGTTTTTAATCGAAAGCGCAAAAAAACGTTATTTTCTGATGATTTCCCTATTTTCTGACAATAATGGGGTCAGTCCAGCCAAAAATGAAAATATTAATTTTGCTAGAAAATTCTCCTCATTCATCGATTTGCAGGGAACTTTAGAAAACCTTTGTCAGTTTCGAATTTGGCGCAAAAACCAAATAATTTTAATCAGTTTTTCATCTAAAGTAATTAGGATTATCTTGAAAAAACGACCAGAGAGCAAAAGTTTACACAAAATTATTGGGAAAATTCGCCGCCCGCATCGCTCTAAAGATGTCTGAAGTTCCTTTAAATTTTCAGGTCATTCCAGTCTTAACAAAGCTTCTATTAAGCAATTCTTGCTCCTCAAAAATCGCATTATTTTTTAGTTTTACTTGAAAGTAAGTAAGTTGTACGTAAAATTGAAGATACATTTTATTGGAACACTTTTTGCAGTTTTGAATTATGGACAAAACCGTAATAACTATTTCTAGGTCTTTTTCCAAAAATATTTCCCCGAACTGGAAAAGCGAAAGTTTATAATCATTTATCTGGAAAACCATTGGAACTGGAGTTTCTTCACTTTTAGGTCAATATTTCTAAAAAACACTGTCTCTAAACAGAAAAACCGCGTTGTTTCTAACGTTTTACTGTAAACTACTGGCAAACTGAATCTTTTATGCAAAAAATTAAAAGATCGGTTCTACAAGAAAACACGTCGACTTTCTTTGGACTCAGAAAAAATGTTAATAATCCTTTTTTAGATGAGAATTATAACTCATTAACCGAGGAGTTATAACTCGTTAACTCAGAGAGCGGCATCAGCTCAATAGCGCAACTCAACAACGTGTTACCCAGGCCCAAGGGCGGATCCAGGGGGGGGT